AAAAAAAAAAAAAAAAAAAAAAAAAAAGTTGGTGTAGTTAATTTTTCTATTCCTTTTTACAGAATGGTAGTCGAAGAAGAACACCAGGTGGAGTTTTTCTGAATCTCCTGAAAAACACTCCTAGTATCAGCGAAGAACAAATTAAGGTAATAATACTGCCCTTGACTTTTTTGTTTTTTGTTTTTGTTTTTGTTTTTGGTACCGGTGATGATGAACTCAGGTCCTTGCAGTTGCAAAGCAGGCAGTAGAACCAATGAGCTAAATCCCCGGCCCTGCCCTTGACTTTTAAGATCCCTTATAATCTGACTTTCACAGGCCAGGGATTTAGCTCAGTGGTTCTGCCGCCTGCCTTGAAAGCACAAGGTCCTGAGTTTGATCCCCAATACCAAAATAAACAAATAAATAAATTGACTTTCACAAAGTTCCCGGTTCCATTTGGTGATTGTCCTGCTTCTTGTTTGTTTTTTGAGATAAGATCTCCCTACATAGACTAGGCTGGTCTCAGACTTGTGGCAATTCTCCTAACTCAGACCCTTGAGTGCTTATAGGTATGCACCACCACACCTGGTTTCTTAGCAAACATTTTTTCTGTCATCCTAAAACTTTTTTATTAATGAAAACTTTCAAATATAAGAGAATAGATTAAAGAATAATAAGATAAATATGCATATATTCGCCACCTAGATTTGGCGATGATTAATATTTTGAAATTTCCTGTCAATTTTTTCTTCCACTTGAAAATAAATAGCAAATGTGAAGCTCACCTTGAGTTATATCAACAGGCATCTCTCAGTGTTACAGACAGCGTTCTACAGAGCCACAGGACCTGCTTCATTCATTAGCGAAATAAAAATTTTACTGTATCACTTACTATTTAGACCTTACTCCAGTTTTCTGACTTGTCCTAAGAACTTATTTTATTCTCTTCCGCCCCAACCAGGTTCCAGCCAAATTTCTTTATTCCATTTATTTATTTATTTATTTATTTATTTTATTTTTTACTGTACATTTTCCCTCATATAGACCTTTTGAAGAGTTCAGAATGGTTCTGTAGAATTGTAGGTTATCCTGGGTTTTTTTTTGTTTTGTTTTCTTTCTTTCTTTCTGGTGATTGTCTGCTGATGGCTTTGTTCCATTCTTTCCTCCATCTTTGGTGTTATAAACTAGAGTGTATTCTTAATCATTTTTTGTGTTACTAGGGTAATATTTAAGTATTGTTCTGTAGTGGGTTTTTCACAACTGAAAATTTGATATCTTTTAATTTGTTAATTAGGGAATGTGATTTGCATTTATTATGATCAAGATTGAAAATTAGCCTATTTATTACCTAGCAAAGATAGTGCATATCTGGCACAGCTGTACTTGATAAGCTGTATATTCTCTATCAGTGGCTGATAAAAGTGATAGGAATAAGATAGGTATGCTGATGAATGCCTGGAATCCCAGCACTCAGGAGGCTGAGGCAGGAGGATTGAGTTTGAGGCCAGCCTGGGCTCTACTGTGATTTCAAAACCAGCTTGGACTAGGTAGTGAATTTTAAAAAAAAAAAGTGATCAGAATATGTGTTTCAGCCATATTTATACAGTGCTCACCATTATCTTGAACCTCGGGCTCCATATTGAGAGTATTTTGTGTCTGCTCAGTGTTGAGTTTTTTTGGGGAGCGCGGTTCTGCCTAAAATTTTCAAACTCTTCTCATTTTTTAAAATCTGGAAGTTCCTACAGGAAATTTCTTGCACATCTGAAATCTCTAGTCCATGATTGCTTTTTCCCCTCATGAGAACAGTTTAAACATGATTTGTAACATGACACGTACATCTTCCTGATGGTGTTATCTGTTGAATAATAGAGATTATACTTTAGTGATTTTTCACCTCTCTCCCCCAGTACCCTTGATAAACAACAGTGCTATCTAGAAATTCTATTTTAAAAGTAATCTTGGACAGGCCCAGGGATTAGTTTAGTGGTTCCACCGCCTGCCTCATAAGTACAAGGTCCCGAGTTTGATCCCTTGGACAATTTCCGAAGAAAATAACATTGATTGGCACTGAGTTATACATTTATAGTGTATGAATTACAGTGGGTGTTTATCAGGGTGTTACCCTGTTAGATGAAGAGTAGTCGAATGGTATGTTTAGGATTACTCAGCACTCAGAGCTCAGAACTCTTGTTGTTTTTGCTGTTATCACATGTCTTTGAAATGCATTTATTCCAACTTACTGTGGGAAAGAGGTGTTTAATGTTAGTTGTTATGTTATATTTTGTATTATGATAATAAACGAGCATATGCAATATCTAATGTTTATAGAGACATTCTTATGAGCACTAGTCTGTAACCTACATTTTTGTGAATCAGTTTTTTTGTTCAAGTAATTTAATATTGTATATTAAAATTCTTCAACAGTGAACTAAAACCATATACATTTGTCAGTTTGAAATAAAATATTCTTTAAAACCCACCAATTGATGAATGTAACTGATAACCTCAAGTTAGGTTTAAAATAATATTGGTTAATAAAAACACATTAAGATAATTCCACAGTTTATCAATATCGCTATGATGAATTTCAAAATGATCCATAATATGATTGGTTAGAACAATATATGTGAGGGCTGGGGATTTGGCTCAGTGGTTTCGCCACCTGCATCGCAAACACAAGGGCCCGAGTTTCATCCGATACCAAAAAAAAAGAACAATATACATGAAAATGTTATTTTCCTCTCTAATGGTATTAGTACTGTTTATATAATTTGATTCTACACAAATATACATTATAATATCATAGAAATATTCCACAGAGATGTTAAAAAATTAAAATACCTTAAATTAAGTAAATTTTATTTAGTCAAATAGTAAGCAAACTTTTTTTTAATCTCTTTCAAGAAAAGTTTTATTACTTTGGAATTTTTTTTTTTTTCCTAGAAAAAAATGTTTGCAATAGAGTTTAACACCTTTCTCAATCAAGGTTTCCGTGACAGAAATCTTGACACCTGGAGCCCAGATTATTTCTCTGACATGTTCTTTAAAACACTGAAGATTTAAAAAGCAAAACAAAACAAAACCCACACAATTTCTCTAGGCACAAACCTGCAGATCTCCTGCCCGTGTACAAACTTGGGATCATACCACAACTTTGACCAGTCCTCCTGGAAGGTGCAGTAGAAATTTTAGTTATTTTGAAATGAGACCAGAAACATCAGCATAGCTAACCTAGTTTTCTTGTCACTGCATTAACAAAACATTGTTTTAATAAAAAATATTTAATACAAGACAGTTTTTTTCTGTGCATAATACCTGTTTCAAATCACTTTTAAAAATTTGAATCCATCATTAGATTTAAAGATTTTTTTTCTTCATCTGACATAGTTGATTATATATAAAACCCACAAAAGTATAAGGTGGGAAACAGAATTTCCTGGCAATCACAGGGTGGCGGTTGTCCTTCTGTGTTAGGTTATCTAGTGACAATGTTTTTACAGCTGCTTTTGGAGTGAGAATAGTTCTGTCCTGATTGTACCTTTAATGCTGCTGACAGTGAAAATGAAACCCAAGATTTTGATACTTTTAGGCAGCAATAGAGATCCCCTTAACTTTTCTTGTTTGTGTGTACAAAAAGGTCATCACCCCAGACTAAAGTGAAGCCAGCAGGACGAATCCCTGGAGACTCGGGAGGGAGGTTTGTGAATCAGTTTTAAGAAAATAAGAAAATGTTAAACAAGGTGTCTTGTACCCATAAGCCCAACAGGCAGGAGGAGTCCATGAGTTGGAGATCAGTCTGGGCTGTAGAGTGGGTACAAGGCCAGCCTGGACTACATACCAAGACTGTGTCCAAAAAAACAAAAAAAAAAAAAGAAAATGCAGTAAAACTGAATTTGGGGGCTTGGCGCTGTAGCTCAGTGTAGAACATGAACGTGTACTTGGTATGCACAAGAACCTGTGTTCAATCCACAGCTAAGAAAGGAAGGAGTGGAGGAAAAAATTTTAAGACTAAATACAAAATTATAAATTAAAGAAAAAGAAGCGGCAGACAATAGACTAAGAAGTAAAGCCCCAAAATGTCACCAGTGATTTGATGTGTTTTGAGAAATTATAAAATGCTTTGGCTTTCTTTTATTTTTATTTGTTTTGGGGGGAGTTTGTGTGGTTTTATTCTGATTTAGGTTGGGAGGGTTGTTCATTTAGCTTTATTTTTTGAGACAGGGTCTCACTATGCAGTCCAGGCTGACCTTAAACTTGCAGTGTAGCCCAGACTGTCCTTGAAGTCATGATCCTTAGTCTCTTGAGTATTGGGATTATAGGTGTTCACCACCACAATGCTTTGGCTTTTTAACATGTTTATTACAGGGCTATAATTCATGTTTCACTGCCGGGCGGCTTGAACCAGTGGTGGTACATGCATAACCGTTCCATTAGGTTATTAGTAAAAAGTCCAATAAAGATGATTAAATCTGGTTTGTACCACCAGTGGTACAAGCCACCCAGTGGACAGTCATGCATGCACCACCGGTGGTTCAGACTGGTAAGAACATATTAACCTGTGTTTTTCTAAATTTTTCACATGGTTATAGATTGAATACTTTTGTCATTAGAGGAAATAACCTGAAGAAAAGTAAATTTTTATTATAAGTAACGCAGTATATACCATTCACATGATGATGTTATAATTATTTTAATTGCCATATTGTTAATCATAGACTACAAGTTGAAAACCATAACCGGACTGGCTGTGTTTTGTTTGCCTGGGATTTTTTTTTTTTAATTTGTGTTTTTGTCTTGTTTTAGTGATACTGAGGATTGAACCTAGGCTTCGTGCATGCTAGGTGGTGCTGGGGATTGAATTTAAGAATGCTCTACCACTGATCTACATCTCAAGCCCATTTCATTTTTTAAAATTTATTTATTGTTGCCAGGCATGGTGGTACATGCCTGTAATCCCAGCATTTGGGAAGCTTAAGACAGGAGGATTGCCATGAGTTGGAGGCCAGCCTGGGTTACATAGTTCAAGGCCAACTTGAACAACCTTGTCTCGTTGTTTTTTTGAGACAGAATCTTCCTATATAGCTCAGGCTAGCCTGGAACTTGGAACAGTCCTGCCGCAGCCTCCAGAGTAGCTGGGATTACAGGTGTGTGCCACCATGCCTGGCTTTATTAAATGCAGTATTTTCTAAAAGGATAGCTATAACAGTCTCTCTATATAAAACAACTTATATTCAAGTTCTTATATAGAGAGATGTATGAGAAAAAATACCTACTGTCTTCGTTATAACAGTATCAACACAGTTTTAACCACATTTCTTTGGGATGCTCTCTACTTTGCTCTATTAAATTCATAACCTATGGGAATGAAGTTCTTGGTAATAAGATTTGCTATCTTTGAAGAGAAAGGGAAACTATAAAATTTACTCTGTTGCCAAGCATTATACTGCCTAGACTTGTTTTTTATTAAGATGCTTAGGTAGGTGTTTCCACATAAAATGAAAATACTCTACTTGTATTTGCAGTTTCTTGTGTCTTTTCACCTGAAGACAAACTCAAAAAAATGGTGAATTATCATAATTCTGTGAAGGCAGAATAGTAAGCTTTAAGAATAATGGATTTGGAAAAATAAATGAAGTCAGACTTTATACTTTCAACATGTTAGCTGTGTAATCTGCCTCACTTTTCAACTGAATCAGAGGTGATATACTGTACGTACCTCATAAGATGTTTTGAGCATGAAATTAGTGTGTGTGAAAAGTTTTTAGCATAGTGCCTGGCATTAGAAGTGCTCACATGGTACAAGGCAGCTGGCCTTGCTGTCCCTGTAGTCACCTTTGTTCTTCCTGTGCCTTTTCTCCCATGTACACCCTCCTCCTCCACCCCCAGTCCTCCCTTATTTCTTTATCAGGAGCTTTAATTTGCCCATATCAAAACACTCATATTCTGAAGCTTTCCCTACTCCTACCTCTGCTCATTCCATGCCCTGCATGTAACTAACTGGCTTACAGTATAGGAGCAATCTCCTTTATCTCGCCATCTGCCATAGTGCTTTTAATTTTTGTTTTGTTTTGTTTATTTTGGCACTGGGGATCGAACTCAGGTCTTTGTGCTTGTGAGGCAGGCAGCAGAACCACTGAGCTAAGTCCCCGGCCCTAATTTTTAAATTTTACTTTTAGTAGTACATGTTTGCAGGACATGTTTACATTCCTTGTGTGGCCCTAGTATGTGTACAAAACAGACCTTAATTCCTTTTTTCATCCCTTTCCCCTTCCCTCCTTCCATCTTGGTCCTGAAATAATACTGTATGGAATGGTTCGGGAGTTTGTGTGTCATTCTTATGCAGGGGCCGTGCCAGTCTTCTGTGTATCATTCTACTTTTAGTTCTGCGTATGTGCTGCTGAAGCAAGCACCATAGTGCTTTTTATAAACAAGGGATTTGTACTTTGTGCACTTTAGAAAATAAGACAGAAGTCCTGGTCTGGTGGCACATGCCTGTAATCCCAGCACTCAGGAGGCTGAGGCAGGAAGATCGCTGAGTTCAAGACCAACCTGGGCTACATAGTGAGTTCTAGTTCAGTCTCAACTACATAGTGAGACCCTGTCTCAGAAAACCCGAAAAACCGAAAAAAAAAAATACTACAGGAACTGGCTTGATTACAGCTTTTAGGAGTCCCTTTCCAAAAAATAACAGTTCAGAAATGTGTCCTGCCTATACCAGCTTTTTTCCTTAAAACTTTGAACCATCTCTGTCTTACTGTAGACAGTCTGGCACTCTCTTTAAATCCCTGACCTACTTTCCTCTTTTTTTTTAATTGTACCTGGGATCAAACTTGGGACCTTGTGCTTGCAAGGCAAGTGGTGGAACCACTGAGCTAAATTCTCAGCCCCTTTCCTCTTTGTATTCTTAACTCCAATTACCTATTTGTACAAAGGTTCCCATGTGTTATTTTATGCTTTCCTATGTTTATTTTTTCCATGCTTGTATTATATGGGAATATATTTTCTACTAGCATAGGTCTTATCCACTATGGTCCCTTCGAGATATTTGGCAATATCTGAAAATGTTTTTGGTTGTCACAATCTGGGGGTAGGGCAGATATCCTTCTTAGGCAAGTAGGGGATAGATGCCCTATGTGCTGCCAGACATCTCACAAGTGCACAAAAGACAGCCAAAGCAAAGAATTATCTTCTACTGGAAGAATTCCATGTTTTCATGCTATAAAGGTCCCCCCCCCACTTTTTTTAAGAGGAGAAGGGTTTATTTGGCTTACAGTTGATAGAGGTTTCAGTCCACAGTGAGCTGACTCTAAGGCAGGGATAACAAACAGGCGTGGCAGGCCAGAAACAACATGGCGCACACAAGGTAGCAAAGGCAACAGATTTAACAGTGTCTTCTTCCCCCTTTTAGATTCAGACTACTTAGGATAGGTAGCACTGGCACCCTTAGTCCTAGTACCCTTGAGCCTAGCATTGCATTGTGAATCAATTCCATCTTCACACACTCTAGATCAAGCTTATGTCTACATGAGGCTTTTGGGGACATCTAGACTCAAACTGTAACATTCTGTCTCTGGCCCCACAGTGGCTCGTGTACATTCTTTTACACAAAAGGCATTCAGTCCATTTCTAAGAGTTGCCAAAGTCCTAACAGTTTCAGCATCGCTGAAAAGTGCAAGTCCCAAGTCTCTGAGATTTAAATTAAACTCTTAGCTGCAAGCCCCTGTACAAATGAAAAGGAAGTCAAACACTTCCAACAACACTGGCACAAGGTAGACTTTTCCATTTCCAAAGGCACAAACAGGAGGATACAACGGAATCCAGCAGGCCAAACATTTAATCCTTTAGTTCCACTTCCAGCATCCCTGGCAGCCTGTGGCAAATTGTGAACTCCACAGGGCTTTGACGGCTCTGCCCCTATGGCGCTTCAGGTGGTCGAAGCTCCCACAACTTCTCTCTTAGGCTGGCTCTGCTCCCTCCTTACAGCTTTCCTCAGATGTTTCATGCTCCTGGCTTCTCCAGATTTCTGGGGTCCCCACTGTCCCTCTGACTACACACACACTTCCACGCAGTACCTTCTCAGCGGCACACTGCCCGGTCTCTCAGGCCTTCCTCTGAAATCTGCAAGGAAGCCTTCCTGAGCCCTCAACTTTTGCATTCTGCATGCACCTAAAACCAGCACCACGTGGATGGTGCCAAGGCTGCTGCCAGCTGGAGCAGCAGTGGCCAGTCTTCCCTCTTGGCTGTAGAGGTTGAGTGCCTGGATTGCTGAACACTCTGAACCAAATCTCGAGGAACAATGTTCTATGTGGCCATTTTGGAAAAACTCCCCTAGGCCACCACCATCTGGAACATGGTACAACTGCTGCAGTTCTGGAACATGGTGCTCTGGGGCTTTCTTCTTAAAGCCAGACCTTTCACCTTTATAACTCTGCAAAGGGTGCTGCTTCCTGTGATTGATGCCCTCAGGCCATCTTTTCTATTCTGCTGTTGTCAGCAATTAAGATCTCTTCTCTTTGCAGTCCACAGCTTTACTGGATCTTCCTTTCTGGCCAAACTCAAAACATTTTAAATCATTCTCCTGGGCTTTTTGCTCTTGATTCTCAACATAAATCTGGCTAACAGCCCCCAACAGTAACCATGTCATCACCTCAATACTTGACTGCTTTGAAATTTCTTCTGCAAGATTAATTAGTCCACTGCCCCTAATCTCAGTCTCAGGCAAAATCTCTGGACATGAACGAAATGCAGACAAACTTTCTGACAAACCATAACACACATCATCTGGAGTCCAACAGTCAGTGCAGTCCTTCCTGCATAAACTCCTCAAGCCTGGTCTTTGTAAACTTTCTGGTCTTCTGAGCTCTGACCAGAATCTTCCATAAGAACCACCCAAGGTGTTCAGTGCTGCTTCTGTAGCCAACATCTCTGAATCTTTCCTAACTCTTCCCCTTCCCACAAACCAGTTCCAAAGTCTCTGAGCCACATGTCCAGGTAATGTCATAGCAATGACCCCACTTCTAGTACCAAATTTCTGTTTGTGTTACTTTTCTCTTGTTGCTGAGACAAATTACCTGACCCCTACATTTAAAAGGGAAGGGCTTTCTTTGGTTTATAGTTCATAGAGGTTTCAGTCCGTAGTTGGCTGGCTCTGAGGCTGGGATGGATCTGCTGACTATATTATTTCCATGCTTATGATAGAAGTTTTTGACCAAGATTTGCACTGTCTCGTTAATTTCAGTAAGGGCTAGAATTTTTCTTGCACTATGTAATGCCATGATTGTTATTCACACAGTTCAGTTAAGCAATTTTTTTTCCTTGTACCTGGGGATTGAACTCAGGACCTTGCACTTGCGAGACAGGCAGGGGCACCACTGAGCTAAGTCCCAGGCCCATTATTCACAGTTTAGACGTGGCTTGGTTTCTTAGCATGTACAATCAAGTGTATTTCACAGCTGGTAAATTTTTATTCCAAAACTTATTTCTCTTGTGTGAGCAATTACATTTTCTTTAAATCCTGAATAGGTGATTGTCCTATTGTATCTTTTCCTTCAGAAAACTCTTTTGGTTTTTGGTGATACCAGGGGACTGGCAGGCAGCAGCGCCACTGAGCTAAATCTCCAGCCCAAAACTTGGGTCCTTGCTCTTAACGAGGCAGGCAGCAGCACTGCTGAGCTAAATCCCTGGCCCTAGAGAGCTTTTAAATATAGAGATCATGAATTAAGCATGGACCATAAATTTACACTAGGTTTGATTTGAATTATAGCTTTGGTCTTTACTTAGAGTAGGTACTTATTTAATATCTTAGACTCTTGAGTCTTAATAGTAAGCCAAATAGGCTTGGGATTTAGCTCAGTGGTTCTGTTGCCTGCCTTGCAAGTGCAAGGGCCTGAGTTCGGTCCCCGGTACCAAAAAAAAAAGCCAAATATAAATGGAAATAATAATTATAAAGGGCTTGCCTAATAACAAACTTTATTGTGGCGCCTTTTTACTAAAGTTATTCTTTTTTATTATAGGACATTTTTTACATTGAAAATCAAAAGGAATATGAAAATAAAAAAGCTGCTAGAAAGAGGAGAACACAGATTTTGGGAAAAAAGATGAAACAAGCCATTAAAAGTCTGAATTTTCAAGAAGATGATGATACATCACGGGAAACTTTTGCAAGTGATACAAATGAGGCCCTGGCCTCTCTTGACGAACCACAGGAAGGACATGGAGAAACCAAGTTAGATGCAGAGGAAGCTATTGAGGTGGATCATTCTCATGATTTGGACATCTTTTAAGTATATTTTGGACATTGTGAGGAATAAGCCTTTTAAAGTACCATTGTAATAAACCGTTTCTACTGACATAGCTTTGTTTTAGTTTGCACTGATAAACATGAGAATCTGGATAAACCTATTTCTTGTTTTAAATAATACATGTGGGGAAGTGAATGTGATTAAAGATGGCTCATGTCTGACAGCACTAAAGCATATGGCATAATGTTTAATTTCTTGGTCTGTTGCATGACTAATACTAGTAGATGTTAATCACTTTTTTCCATGTCATTATCATATGCCATTCAAAAGTTTGTTTTTTTCTGATAATATTTTTGAGGTGAATTTTGCTTTGATTTCAAAACATTGCAATGAAAGATCTTACTGGAACACACAAATGGTTATACTGTTGCAAATGCATTTGGATTTTTTTTTTTTCTATTTTATTAGAACTCTTAGGCAGTTTTACGGATAGAGACTAAACATAGGTATATACTTATTGATGCTTCCCAGTTTCTTACTTGTCCAGAAATAAATGTCAGAAGCTTTTCAAAGAAATACTGGTTCATAACTTTTTTTACTTTCAATAGTTAACTGGATAATAAACAGCATTTATAAACTACATTCATTATAAACTAAACTTGAAGGGCCAGGGATTTAGCTCAGTGGTTCCACTGCCTGCCTCGCAAGCAGAAGGTCCCGAGTTCCATCCCGGTACCAAAAATAAAAATAAACTTAAAAAATTAAAACAAAAATATCAATTAAAAAAATAAACTAAACTTGAAGTCTTTTAGTAGTTCTTCAAATGAAATCAGATCATGAAGAGGAAAATGGTTATTGGTTGCTTTTTATTTATAAAGAATGCAAAAATAAATCTTTTGCAGTGTCTGTTTGGTGCTAGGGATTCACCCCAGAGCAGCGATGGTGAACCTTTTAGAGACCAAATGCCCAAACCTACTTATTTATCACAAAGTGCCAACGCTGCAATTAAACCTGACTCCTGAGGTTTTAGGTGAGAAGTTATTGGGTGCTCTGCTCTTGGGGCACCTTGGCTCGTATGCCACGCTGACAGGACTCTGCCCTCTGCAGCATGCATGCCATAGGTTCACCACTGTTGCCCTGGGCCTAGAATACTGCAGAGCAGGTAGGTGCTCTGCTATTGAGCTATCTCCTGGCCCTGAGTATTTTTCCCCTGGGATTGATCCCAGAGCCTTGTACTTGGTAGGCAAGTGCCAAACTTTAAAAATTTCAAATATTGTTTAATGACTGCTGTGACTAAGGGAAAAATGTATTTTAATATGCCAGTGAATATTGTCCCTGTGTGGTTTTATGTTGCTGTTGATTTTGTTTTGTTTTGCTACAGAGTGTTGAATCCAAGGGTCTTCACACTGAACTATGTCCACAGGCTGCTTTGGTTTTTTGTGTTTTTGTTTTTTGCAGGTTTGTTTGTTGTTTGTTTGTTGAGACAATCTTAAGTCACTAAATTGCCCAGCATGGGTTTGAACTTGGCAGTCTTGCTCCAGCCTCCTGGAGAGTTGGGATTATAGGCATGCGCTGCTACACCTGGCCCAGATTACTTAGGAGACTGATTTTTTTTCCCTTATGGTTAGGATAGACCCAGGGACCTCATACATGCAGATGTATCTTCTTCCACTGAGCTATCCTCACCCCATAAGGTAATTTGAAAGCTACTTTGCATTAGAAAAGATACACATGTAAATATTACCTCTACTGCAAGTTACTTTTTTTTTTTTTTTGGTACCAAGGATTGAACTTGGGACCTTGCACTTGCTAGGCAGGTGGCAGAACCACTGAGCTAAATCCCCAGCCCTGCAAGTTAAAATTTTTAAAGGGTACTAATTCCTGAAGCTACTTTATCTTTATTAAGATTGTCCTTTTTTTGTTGTTTTGTTTTTTGGTACTGGAAATTCAAAGGGCCTTGAGCTTGCCAGGCAAGCACTGTGCCACTTAGCTCCATCCCTGGCCCAAGATTGTCCCTTGTAAACTGGGCATAGTGACCCATACCTGTAAGCCCAGCTGCTCGGGTCTGAGGCAGGAGGATTCTAAGTTCGAGGACATCCTGAGCAACTTAGACTCTATCTGATAATAAAAAAGGTTGAATATGTAGCTTAACCCTCCCAGGGTTCCATGCCTAACACTACAGCAAAGGGGGAAAAAAAGGATTGCCTCTTTTGAGTACCTTCTTCATTTTTGTCAATAATTACTTTTTTAACATTTGAAACTATGCAGATTTCTGGTTTGTATCCTATCCTACTGTTGTATTGAAGTCAGGCTTACATTTTTAAGGTTAAGTTTTTCATGGATTAAGTTTTATCAGCTGTCTTGTAAGTAATCCCAGTTTCTTGGAAGGCTGAGGCAGGAGGGTCACAAATTTGAGCCTAGCCTGAGCAATTTAGTCCCTGTCTCAAAAAACAAAGGAGTGGGGCCGGGGATTTAGCTCAGTGGTTCCAGTGCCTGCCTTGTGAAGGACCCAAGTTCAGTCCATGGTACCAAGATAAGAAAAACGCAAACAAACAAAACAAAGGAGTGGGATGTAACTCATTGCTCAGAACCACAAAAAATAAAGTTTTATCATTAAGATATTCTGCAATAGAATGAAAGAGAATAGGTAAAATTGGTTAAGCAAATTTGATACAGTCTGTATCTAAGGTGATAAATGATGTGCAGTATATAAGGATTTCTGTAGCATGTTTATATAGAGAGGAAAATTAGCTAAAGGCAGAGAATATTAATATGAAGTGCTTCTTTGTGAATGTTCGGTGTAACGGTTTCTCTAGTGTGTGGCACATTTGTAGTGTGCAAGCATTCTCGTTGTTAATGCACACAATAAATGATTTTTGTCAAGAAAGGAGATTAAAAACATACTCAAGAGCTCTGAGCACACTTTGAACTGCTGCCTTAACTGCTAAGCGTTGCTGTGAAGTTAGGAGACATTGTTACATCAGAGCACTGGTTTCATCATAAGAACAGTGGCTTGAGTTCTGGATGTGAATTCTGTCACAGCTGGCAGTGATGGTTTCGGACAAAGACACTTGTCCTCCCTGCCCTGAGCTGGCCTGCAGCTGCTCTGCCGAGAATCCCCATAAGCCTGCCACTAAGTGAGCACCGAAAGGGCCCAAGAGAAGGGGCGTCTGTCTGCCGCTCAGGCTGGGAACTGTAGACGAGGAGCTGCTCCTTCGCATACACAGGGAGCCTCAGGTTCCCGAGGAAACGGTGGGGTGTGGTACTGAGAAAGCAGGCCTGACGGAGTGTGGGGCTGTGTCCCCTCCAGACAGGCCAGCTGCTGGCTGTCCCCCCCTGGCCGGAGACTGCCTTGTACCGCATGGTGCGCTGCCTCTCCTTGGAATGGGGTCCTCCTGACCCTGCGCACAAACCGCATGCACTTGGAGGTGCAGACAGCCAGCCCTGCTCCATCTTGGTGCTAGGTGGGGTGTGAAGGTGACTGTCGGGGCCTCAGTGTCAACTCTGGGTCCAGACATCGTGGCTCCCTTCCTTGGAATGATGCTAGAGCAACTATCAACTCACAAGGCCTCCTTTCTTTCCTAATCATCAGGTATGAAGAGATTCATTTGCCACAGTTTTCCCTGATGCACAGAATGATTCCGATGCGTTACGTTATGCCTTGGAAAGAAAACATGAAATTCAGGAATGTGAACCTGAAGGTAAACATCCATAATTTAAAAACCTATACCATTTAATACAGTCTTAAGAGTAGACACAAAAGCTGTACTTACATATAAACTTGCAAGCACATGTTCATGTTTTCAGGTAACACAAATGCAAACTTCAGATAACGGGGTTTAGAACCTTTGCGTCATGCTAATTTCTGCGTTAAGTCCAGCAGAAGTAGGTGCCATTAATACTAAGGTTCCAGCGACACTGTGCTCCATACTCAGGTAGAGGGCCATGGGGACATCTGAGCTAGATTTGCAGACAGGTACTTAACAGTGCTCCTGATTGGTTCCTTTAAAACATTTTCCAAGTGCGATGGACTGTTTGCTTGTCATATGGTAAGTTGTTTCACACATGGTAATAATCAACTACGAGAGGAAATTTGAAGTTAGGAGTCCTAGAAAAAAATGTGTTTTTGTTAAGTGACTTGTAAACTGCAATTGTGTAAAAAGTTAGTATAAATAAGAATGTATTTTGAGATACTGCAAAATATAACTATAAAAGGTATATTATAAAATATGGCTTAATTGTCCTCTTACAGTTTTTTGTTTCTTGGGTTTTTGAGACAAGGTCTCCCTGTGTACCCCAGGCTGGCCTCAACTGTCAGCAGTCCTCCTGCCTCAGCCTCCTGAGTGCATGTGCCACGTGCCTGGTTACAATTGTTCTCCTATGAAATGCACATGTGAGCCTGGCATGGTGGCACATGCTTGTAATCCTAGCACTCTAGGCAGGAGGATCACAAGTTGGAGTCCAACCTGGCCTCTCAAAGCTTAGTGAGATCCTGTCACAAAATAAAAAAGAGAAAGGGCTGGAGTTGTTCACTGTTCAACCCTGGGTTTAATCCCCTATGCCTCAAAAAAACCACATAACAGTGTTATAAAACAGTGCCTTGCGAGTGCACAAGCAGTGTCACTGAGCTACACCCCCAACTTGGTCTTGTTTTTTAGAGCTTTAATTCAGCGTAATTTCTCAAAGCTACTTCACTTTTGCAATTTAAAATGTTCCTTACAACTGGGCATGGTGGCACATGCCTGGGAGGCTGAGGCAGGAGGATTGCAAGTGTGAGCCCAGCCTGGGAACTTAGTGACTTAGCAAGAGCTTGTCTCAGAATAATGAACCTCCTGGGTTCATTCTCCAGGACAGCAAAATACATATGTGCACACATACATAAAATTCAAAAATAACGTGTTCCCAACAGTTACATCGTTAGTCACTGGTGCAGAGAATATTGTGCCTTGCAAAAGTACCTTGAAAACTAAAGGATGAAGGGCGTAGACCCACAGTGAATAAATGTTCATAATTCTACCTTCCTCTTACCGTTCACCTCACCATTCTTACAGTAAGAGGTCATTTTTAAAACAAATTTTATTTCCCCCCGTCCCCTCAAGCCCCTTCCCCTCCCTGTGGATAGAAGCTTTGTTTCCATTTTTTCCTTCTATTTTCACTTCTTTTCTTGTCTCTTCCTTTCCTCCTCCCTCGTCCCTTCCCATTTAAACACCACTCCCCAACATCCACTTTACACCTCAATCCTTATTTCCACATTCAGCTTCTCACCAGAGAAACAATGCAGTATTTAAACGTGTGTCCGATTTATCTCACGAGTGTGGTCTCAAGGTCCATCCATTTCGCTATCAGTGAAGCACATCCTTCTTTATGGCAGAGTAATACTCCATTCTAGAAAAAAATCTTTATCCACTCGTCAGTTGAGGGGCATTTGGGCTGTTTCCCAGATTTAGCCATCACAAACTGTGCTGCTCTAAGCATGGGTGCACACATATCACTTGGTGTGACGTTTTTAATTCTTTCAGGAAGCTACCAAGAAGGGGAATCCTGAGAGTAAGAAGTGATTTTTAGGACCCACATTTAATCACAATACCATAATATAGTGAACCAGATGCGGGTCACACCCCACAGCCAGGCCAGAATGCTGCTCGTCAGAAGGAAAGGAGCAGAGTCAGAACCTCAAGTAGCTGCTGCCTGTACAGCGAGACTTGTAAGAGTCGCACCATAATGAGACCGGTTTAATGCCTGAAATTGGCAAAAGCTCTCACTCACTGGTGGGCTTTTTGTGAGTTCTTTTTCTTTCTTTGGTGCCGCCGAATGAACCCAGGGCCTCTCTCACGCTAGGCGAGTGCTGTGCCACGCATTTGCTTAATGTTTTGTTCAAAACTCCAAGAACTCTTCAATATTCCCATTTTATAGGTGAAAAACTGAATTGTGGGGGGAGTTGTAGGTGATCTTTCCAAGTTCACGTAAGCAGGGAGCGAAAGTTCAAAAACCCAACTGCAGATGTATCTGTCACCTTTGTGACTGCCGTCTCCCTGGTACTTCATGGTAGTAACACTGACCCCGAAGACTTCTGCCCTGATGTCCGTCAGACAGAAAAGCTCATCAGGAAGCAGGGTCTCCCCGTGGGCCCTCAGACCGCCTTTGTCTCCCGGGCTCGCCCTACCTCAAGCCTTCCGAGTGCTGTGTGTGCCACCATGGCCGGCCGACACTTCCGTCTTAATCTAACGAGAGAAGGGTGTTTGCTGTGATGCAGCATTAAGCAGAGGTTTCTGTTTTGTTTCCTCTTAGCAAGCAGAAGTATCTGGGATCCATACTGGGCCCTCAGAAGAGTCTCTGTTTCTGAGTCACAGAGAGAGGCTTTGCCATGGGGAACACCGTAAAGACCTCCTGAGGAAAAGCCCATCAGAGATAACAATTTCGGATATGCCTCTGCATTCGCCGCTCTCCAGGTACCACAGCACTGTGATCTCCCATGGCTTCAGGAGGCGGCTGATCTGACAGCAGACACTGTGATGCTGGGCTGGAGACGTGGCTCCAGGACAGCTGCATGCAACGTGTGTGAAACCTTGAGTTTCCGCCTTAGCACCACAGAACAGATAAATAAAAGTAAAGTGATAAAACGCTCTGCTAATGTTTCAGTCCATAGTGCATTTATATTTCACCTACGAGGTCTATTTGTTTAAAAATCAAAAGTCAGGGGCCAGGGATGTGGCTCGGTGGTGCTGCACTTGCCTGGCAAGCACAAGGTCCTGAGTTCAATTCCCAGTGCCAAAGAAAAGGGCAAGAGCATCATTTACACATCACAGAAGCTTTAGAAAGGAAATAGTCTCCAAGGTCATCTGAGATGAATTGGGAGAGGAAGAGAACTGCTTTCACTGACACTGATTTCCACTAAGTAGATGAAAGAGAGCGAGCCGGGTGTACTTGCGCACGCCTGTAATCCCAGCCCTTGGGAGGCTGAGGCAGGAGGATCCCTGTGAGTTCGAGACCAGCCTGGGCTACACAGTGCGTTCCAGGTCAATCAGTATTACGTAGTGAGACCCTGTCTCAAAAAAGAAAAAGGAAAAGAGCAAAGAGGACCAGTCCTGCTGCCTGACCTCACCACGCTGTGTCCTGTCCTGTTATTCACCCCTCTCATGCTTAGTTTCAAATGAGCCCAGCTGAAATAAAGTTTAAGTTATTTTTGCTACTTTCCAGCTTTTCTTCTTTCTGCCACCCCTCCAACATACACACTAGAACTCTGGACCATCATTAGAAGTGTTCAGCAGACGGCCCTATGATACAACATATATTTTTAGCTGTGAGAGATGCACTTTCTGTGTTGACTCAGTGAATATAAGTATGTTTCCTACAGCAAAGAAATGACTGGCCTCATGGGACCCCATAAAAGCAACCTGTGCAAAATGGCAGAGCCACCGTAGAGGCAGGTACGGTGGTTCCTCAAGAAATTAAAACGTAGGATTGCCGCATGACTCCGCAGTTGCCCCTGCGCACTCACAAAATTCAAAAGTGGAGACCTGAACGCATGTCCTGTGTGCTGGTGTTTATAGAAGCGATACCACGGTGAAAAGGAAGAGCCCAAGTTTACCAACTGCTGAAGGCACGCTGGGACACCTACGTTGGGGTCCTAGAACCCTGGTGATACTCCTTCGGCGTGTAGGCGCTGTTTCTGGATAAACCTCGCAAGCTCTCACCCATGATGTGCTCACCTTTTCTTCGGCTCCTCACCTCTCCTCTCCTCTCCAGCACTCTCCTCTCAGGCATGTTGCAGGTCAGTCAGTCAGGCATCTTCTGCCCCTGGAAGGCTCCACCTGGATCTTTCCCCGGTTCTCTTAGGCAAACTGGCCAGCCCAGAGGTTAGCCTATATTTGTATCTCTGTGAGTCTATGAAACTCCCACAACCTTCCATGCTTTGGGTTTTAGTTTTCTTTTTTTGGTACCACGTCCTTGTGCTTGCGAGTCAGGCAGCGGAACCTCTGAGCTAAATCCCCGGCCCTTGTTTCTGTTTTACTGTGTTGCCCAGGATGTAAGGGATCCTGATGTAGTCCCTTGTTTTTCAGAGTACCCTTAGGCTTTAACTTCTCTGCACACCACTGTAAAGCAGGTCAGTTCCTATGGAAAGAAACGAGGACCTACCTATTCTACAGCGTACTTATCCTCCCAGTAAAAATCTCCCGGCCCTGGCTCTGGAGCTCAGAGTGAGGACAGTGGTGCATTTCTTTCCAAGCGACACCCCCAGGAACCGAGGACTCAGCAGTAGGGAGGACAGTGTACTAGTCCTCCACCTCCTCTCTGCGATGGGCATGCACCCTGTGATCTGGGCTGTTGAGGCCCTGGTATTCCAGGAGCTCTTGCCCAAGACGGAGCTTCTATCCCATAGAGTGGGACTGGGAAAGAGCGAGCCCAGCCTCTTGGCCACACTTCCCTGCCCCTCGGGAAAGACACCTTCTGATTAGGGACTGAGCAACAGAGCCCTGCAGTTTTTAGACCCTAAAAACAAAAGAACATGAAAAATGGATCCTAACAGTTGTTAGATGGCACAAAGAAGACTCAGATTAATCAGAATTACTGAAAAATCAGAAGAAAGCACAAATAGCATTAAAAAACCTGTTTACAGAAATAATAGCGGAAAACTTTTTGAATATGGGAAAATAATTTAGCATACAGATAATGATGCATATAAAACCCCAAATAGCCACGAGCAGAAAAGATCACTTCTGAGACATCATCGTCAAGATCCCAGAAGTACAACACAAGGAGAGAAACTTAAAAGCTATTTGAGAAAAGCGTCAAGTCAGTTATAAAGAATTACAGTAGACTTTGCCAGGGGTGGTGATGCAAACTTGTCATCTCAGCACTTGAGAGGGTGAGGTAGGAGGATTGCTGTAAATTCGAGGCCAGCCTACATAGTGAGTTCAAGGCCAGTCTGAACTACATAGTGAGACCCTGCCAAAAAAACCCAAAAATTATAGTCGATATCACTACAACCCTTAAAAGCCAAGAGACCTTGAAGTGCAGTGTGTCAAGTCCTAAAAGAAAACAACTTCCACACCTGACTGATATATCCTGCAAAAGTTATCTTTCAAAGTTAATGGAGAAATAAGGTCCTTCCATGACAAAGGGCACTTTAAAAATTGCATGGCCATCAAACTAGCATTCCAAAAAGTTCTCAAGGATATCAGAAAGAGACAAGCCAACAATTCCCAAAAGTTTAATGGAATGAATACACTGTGCATCTTTGGGGGCTGGGGAAGGGAAGAATGTTGTGGCTTATATCTCAATGTCCCCCCAAAACTTCCTTTTTCACAGTGGAGGATTTGCTGTGTGTAGAGCGGTGATGCTTGGATTAAGGCCACCCCGCCCTGGGTGTGAGTGTTACCCACAAGGATGAGTAGCCTGCATGAAGGATAAGCACAGAGATAGGGCTGCTGTTGTCGCTGCTTGCCGCTTGCTGTCACGCTACTTCACGGCTTGCTGCCTTTTCCTCTGCTGACCCTTGCCCTCCATGAACCGTTTCTCCTCTGCGATGCCCCTCTGCCTGGACACTCTCCCTCAGGGCCAGCCAGCTATGGACTGAAACTCGCAAACTGTGAGGAGCTGAAATAAACCTTTCATCTTTTAACTTTGGGTGTCAAGTATTTTGTCTCAGCAATGAGAAAAGTGTAAACATTTAAGCAGAAGGAGAAAAAAAATAGAATTGGCAATAGGAAAATAAAGTAATAACAGAAAAAGGCCAATGTCTTCCAATAATAATTCTCAGTGTGGATGGTGTCAATTCCCCAATCAAAAGACATAGATTTGGAAACAGGATCAACAAACCAAGCCTAATGCTATACTGTACACAAATACATTTAATCCAAAGTGAAATTCATAGACTTAAAGGATGGAAAACAATACTTCATGCAACAGAAACCAAAAACAAGCAGGGTTAGCTATCCTATTTTCTTTTCTATTTTTTTTTAGACAAGGTCTCACTATGTAGTTGAGACTGACCTGGAACTCACTATATTACCCAGGCTGGTCTCAAACTCAGTGATCCTCCTGCCTCAGCCTCCTGAGTGCTGGGATTACAGGCATGTGCCGTGACGCCTGGCCAAGCTATCCTATTTTCAAACATATGGCACTTCAAGGCAAAACTGATCAGAAGAAGCAAAGGTCACTATGTATTGGTTAGGGAAACAATTCAACAGAAAGATATAACAACTATAAACATATATACATCAGATAATGGCACTCCAATCTTCATCAAACAAATACTACTGGACCTAAATGATCAGACAAACACAATTTTAGTGGGGGACTACAATACCCCACTGTCACAAACAGAACGAGACAAAAATCAGAAAAGAAAGAGTTGAAGCAAACCTTGGGACAAATACACTTATTAGAGATCTACAGAGTTCTACCCAATAACAAAATATACATTCTTTGTCTTTTTTGTTTTGTCTTGTTTTGTTTGTTACCAGGGATTGAACTTGGGCCCTTGCGCTTGCAGAGCAGATGGCAGAACCACTGAGCCAAACCCCTGGCCTGATACACATTCTTGAGTCTAGCATGGTGGCAAAGGTCTGTAGTCTCAGTCCCCAGGAGACTGACACAGGAGGATCATCACAAGTTTGAGGCCAGCCTGGAGTACATAGTGATATCTGCTCAAAAAGCAATTACAACAAGATCTCAATGATAAATAGAATGGTGCTGTTTGCTTTAAACATACCAAGAAACTTTTTTTTTTCTTTTTTGGTTTTTTGAGACAGGGTCTCACTATGTAGTTGAGACTGACCTGGAACTCACTATGTAGCTCATGCTGGTCTCGAACTCACAGTGATCCTCCTGCCTCAGCCTCCTGAGTGCTGGGATTATAGACGTGCGCCACCACGCCCGGCTCTGTACCAAGAAATTTAATGGAAAAAAATTACATTCTTTTCAGCAGTGCATGAAACTTCCTCCAAAATAGACCATGTAGTGACAAGTACTGGAACCTCAGCAGAGGCACATAAGAAGGAAAAACAGTGAAATATAATTTATATATCCACGGTGTCATTGTTTCTATGTAGACACCACCCAAAGCTTCCTGTGCTCATAGGCGGGGCTTTTGGCAAGGGTCTGGATCACAGAGGTGCGATGCTCATCACTGTGAAGGTGGGCGGTGAAGCCTGGTCTGAGCAGGTGGGTCACCGGGGTGTGGCCCACAGGATCTGTCTCCTCCCACCTCCCTGGACCTCTCTGCTTCCTGTCTGCCGTGGTCCTCTGCCACGCCATGCTGCCTTGAAAC